TCAGGGCTTTTGGAGAAATAACCAATTCCAGATTTTTTCTTTTTTTGAGTCAGAGTCTCACTCTGTCACCCAGGTTGGAGTGCAGTGGCACCCTCAAGGCCACCACAGCCTTGACCTGCTGGGCTCAGGTGATCCTTCCGCCTCAGCCTTCTAAGTAGCTGGAACTATAGGCACATGCCACCACACTTGGCTAATTTTTTTTTTTTAATAATTAATCAGTATTTTTATTATAGTTTTGTGGGGTACAGTTAAGGGTTAGGTGTACAATTACGTTTCATTCAGACACCCTGTTGATAAGAGGTGTTTTCTCAGCCCCAGACAGATATTTGCTACTGTTAATCCCACTTGGCTAATTTTTTGATTTATTGTAGAGATGAGGCCTCACCAAGTAGCCCAGGCTGGTCTCAAACCCATGGGCTCAAGCAATTCTCTTACCTCGGCCTCTCAAAGTGCTGGTATTATAGGCGTGAGCCACAGTGCCCAGTCTGATTCCAGGTTTTAAGTAAGAAAATCACAAGTTGAGCCTGGGATATCTTGTGCCTAGAAGCAAAAGTGATCAAAACCTAGGACTCTTGTCAAAGAGATATAGGAGTCAATTTTAAGGGATTCCTAATATTTAAAGTGGGACAATTTTAGTATCAAAAAGCATGACTATAATGGAATGAAATACAAGGGGGTACCCCAAAAAACCTGGAATTTATTTATAAAAAATTGTGTATTTTATTCTTACATGGTTAAACTTCAGTCACCTTCAAAGTACTCTCCGTTTAATGCAATATACCTACTGAGACACTTTTTTCCATTGCTCATAACAGTTTTTGAACTCAGTGATTTTGATGCCCTTTAGTGCTTCTGCTATTTCTTGTTTCACATCTTCCAAATCGGCAAAATATTTCCCTTTGAGGACTTTTTTCATCAGGGAAACTAAAAAAAGCCACTTGGGGTGAGATCGGGTATATAGGGAGGGTAGGGCATGGAGGGTAATGCTGTTTTTGGTCAAAACCTGCTGAACACTCAGGACGGTGTGGGCAGGTGCACTCATAAATCACCCATCATAAAATGAGCAAATGTGTTGAAAGAATCTCCAAAAAAAAAATGACTGAAGATTAACGCATCCGCTCACAACAATGCTAGCTGGTATACTGATGCCAATGGGTTCCTAGAATACTTACCTAGAGCGGGGCAGCTTGTAAAGAGGGACCTACCCTCCAACAATAATTCTGGGGTTTTTTTTGGTTCCCCTTCATGTAAATATATTAACAATTCTGAGTTCGTAACAATATTAAAACAAACAAACAAAAAGCTTCACTGGCCACTTTTAGAGACCGCTAGGGCATCAAATCACTGTCCTGGGAAAAGGGTTGGGGGAAACTGATACACTTATCCTATCTTTTATCGTATCTTTTGAGCATGATCATTATTTCAAAGTTACTAAACAATTGATGAGGCAGTTCTTATTTATAGATGCATCACAGTTAATAAATGTAAAAGGAATGACAAAATTAGGATATCTCTATTTTGCAACCCTTAATGACATAATGGATCTAGACAACCACAATTACTGGTTGCTAAAACCATTAAGTGAACCCATGAATTAATCTTAACAACACACTGGGCATGGTGGCTTATACCTATAATCCCAGCACTTTAAGAGGTAGAGATGAGAAGATTGCCTAAACCCAGGGGTTCAAGACCAACCTGGGGCAATGTGGCAAGACCACATCTTTACAAGAGATCAAAATATTAGCCAGGAATGGTGGCGAGTCCCTGTAGTTCTGGCTACTTGGAAGGCTGAGGAGGAAAGATTGCCTGAACTCAGCAGGTCGAGGCCGTGGTAGCCATTATCATGCCACTACATTCAACCCTGGTTGACAAAGTGAGACTCCAATTCGAGAAAAAAAAATTATTTTTGCCAAAATATTGGAACCTGAACCTAATTAAGGCACTAGACCTAGCTCCCAGGTTACAGGCAATAGGGGAGATGGGGTTCATGCTAAACAATGCCATCATGATGAATCAGTAAAGTGAGCCTGCCTGCCTGCCAGCCT